CAGAGGAAGACTCCAACTCAAAAAAAAAAAAAGTCCTCAGGAGAAAAACACACACACACACACACACAAAAACAAAACCAAAGCAGGAAGCATCATATTCCCAGACTTTAAACTTTATTATAAGGCTACAATAATCAAAACAGCCTGGAATTGGTATAAGAACGGGCATATAGACCAATGGAATAGGATAGAGATTCCAGAAGCAAAACCTCAATTTTTCAGCCAACTCTTCTTTGACAAAGCCTCCACCATCAACCACTGGGGAGAGGAGAACCTATTCAGCAAATAGTGTTGGGAAAACTGGCTAATCAAATGCAGAAGATTAAAACAAGACCCTTACCTATCACCACACACAAAAATCAACTCTAAATGGATCAAAGACCTAAATACAAAACCTCAAACTACAAGAACCTTAGAAAACGCAGGAGATACTCAGGAAATTGGAACTGGCAACCAGCTCCTGTGCAAAACGCCAAGTGCCCATGCCATAAGAGATAAGGAAGACAAGTGGGACCTCATCAAACTGACAAGCTTCTACAAAGCCAAAGAAACCATCAAGAGAGCGAGGAGACAGCCCACAGACTGGGAAAAAATATTTGCCAACTGTATATCTGACAAAGGCCTAACATCTAGGATCTACAAGGAACTCAAATGTGCCAAAAAGAAAAAAACAAACAACCCCATTACAAAGTGGGCAAAAAATATGAATAGACACTTCTCAAAAGAAGACATATGAGCAATCAACAGACACATGAAAAAATTTTCAGCCTCACTAGTCATCAAAGAAATGCAAATTAAAACCACACTGAGATACTACCTAGCTCCAGTCAGGATGGCCATCATCAATAACTCAAAAAACAGCAGATGCTGAAAAGGATGCAGGGAAAAGAGAACACTTTTACACCGTTGGTAAGAGTGTAAACTAGTACAACCTCTGTGGAAAACAGTTTGGTGATTCTTAAAAGATCGAAAAATCGACCTCCCATAGGATCCCAGCAATCCCCCTTCTAGAAATATACCCCAAGAAACTCAAATCACTCTATTAAAAAGATACCTGCACTCACATGTTTATGGCAGCATTATTCACAATAGCAAAAACATGGAACCAACTGTGCTGCCTATCAAAAGAGGTCTGCATTAAAAAATGTGGTACAAATATACAATAGAATACTACACAGTCATAAAGAAGGACAAAATTATCAACTTTGCAGCAACTTGGATGAACTTAGAGGCTATAATACTGAATGATCTATCACAGAAACAAAGAACTGAGTATCTCATGTTCTCACTCATAAGCAGACCTATAACTATCGTTATACCATAAGAAAGGGATTGGCAGTAGTGGGAAACTGCCAGTGGAAGGGGAGGACGGGATTGGCAGTAGTGAGAGACTGCCAGGAGGAGGGCACACATCATCAACAAGGGTACCTGCATAATAAACATTTGTATACCTAACCCTTAATTGTACCCCACATCTTTAAAATAAAAAATTTCTTAAAAAGAAGGAAAAGGAAGAAACAAATACAAGAGATAATAGGCATGCTTCTGGCCATGGGAGTTATCTTTAAACTCTTCCTTTGCAGAAAAGTCATTTTTTGGCCGTTTTTCTTTACATCTAACCTTTGAGTTTTAAAATCAGGAAACAATGCATACGTGCTTATTTGAAATTCCGCTCACTTAAGAAAGTGAGCACATAGAGAAATAACAATTATTTTTCTCAGAATGCTCTTCAGATATTTATCACATTTCAAAATGCACAATACACAGGCTAAACCATAGAAACTTTTTATCCAATAAAGCTCTTTGGGGGAAAAAAATGTTACTTACTATGTGTTAGGTATTGCAAAAAATAAGTTCTGGTTATAAAGCAGCAAAGCACTGAGAGAACTATCATGTTTTCTTTAGGTTATTGCAAATAGAGGACATGAATTATAGAAAGTAAGACTTCAAGTGGTTAAGAAGAAAAGAGTTTTTGCCTTTCAGAAGTTTGTAAAATGCCAGTATTCTAAATTTCATACACTGAACGCCTTAAGATAGTCTGATATAGTACACAATATCTGTCACTTCTTTATCCATTTGGCAAAGACTTCATAAAGACAAATGTTACAGAGGCTCAAAAATGGAGACTTCTAGAAAAATGACCAAAGCCAGGAATAAAGTTTTACTAATTAGAAAACAAATAATTAAATGGCCAAACCAGAATGTTGCATGATGCTGAAAAGAGATAAATTTCTAAGGCACACCATCTGTTTTACAGTTTATTTTGCTGTACTATAAATCTACTCAGTACAGTCTTGCAATAATCTAGCTGCTAACTCATTTGCACAATTACTTTAGGCCAGAAATAATGATTGTATAGAATCCTTTAAGAGATCAACACATTCATAGAAGAGGGCAAGCATAATCCAGTCTTGAGTGAAGACTGTTTTTTTAGCCCCTAAAGAAAAAAATGCTATTCAAATAAATGATTGGAAATTGCCAAAAAAATATTAAAGAACTTAAGAGGAGTGATAGCACTATAAATTTATGGTATCTAAACTTATCTGGGTTTCTTCTAAAAGGCATATTGCTGGAGCCTCTTCTATCTGTATTTTCTTCCTAATTTATCTCTTTAGTCCAATGGCTTCACGTGGCATCTGTATACAAGATTCTCAAATTTGTATCTCCAGCTCAGACTTCTCCAGTTTCAGACTCATGTATTCAATGATTTATTTGATATCTCCAGTTGGATGCCACCTAGGCATAGCAAACTTATCATATCCACTACAGAACTCTTGATTCACCACCCTTGCCCCAGAAATTGATTTCTCCCACAGTCTTCCATATCTCAGTAAATACACCACTATCCAATCATTTTGTTAAAGCAAAATCTAGATGTCATCCTTGATTCCTTCCATATCCTCCTCTTCTAATCTATCACCAAATCCTATCAATTAAACCTCTAAAATGAGTCTCACCTGTATTTCCTTTCATCTCTATTGCTATCCCTACCCAAGCCACTATCATCTCTCAACACACTACTTCAGTGTTTATATAATATCCTATTTCCAAGCCATTCCCCACCAAAGTGATCTTTTAAGAATATAATCATATGCTAGTTTACATTTCAAATGTAATTATATCATGTGTCCCCAGTACCTAACTGTCTAGAAAATAATAGATCTGTAATTTTTTTCACAGATGAATCTTTCTTAGTGATATTCCCACGTGTCTCCAGTCATCTCCAGTCTCAGTTCTTAGACATTTTCTGAGATACCTACACACCCATTCGTTTACTGAATCATTCACTCATTCAGTGATTGTTAATTGAGTATTGTATTAATCAAGATTAGATTCAGCTGCATATTTTAGAGTGCCTTAAAGATGACAGAAATTTGTTTCTTTCTTACATAGAAAATTCTGGAGGTGGACAGTGAAGGGTTGGCATGACAGCTCTGTGAGCTACAACCTTGGTTCCTTGCATCTTGTTACTCAGCCATTCCCATTTTATGGTTTAATATGGTTGCTGAAACTCCAGCCACCACATCTGCATTCTGGTCACTAGAAAAGAGGAAGGAAATGGGGAATGCCATACCCTCTCTGTTTGAGGACATTTCCCAGAAATCGTACCCACTTCCACTCACTAACCATCATGATACCTAGCAAACCAGAGTAGGGAATAAAGTCTTTTAACTGGATGTTTCCAACTAGAAGTCAGGATCCTTATTACCACAGAGAAAAAAGAGAATAAATATTAAGAGATAAGTAGCAGCCACTTCCAAAGTTCCTGTTGTGACCAGGCAATGTTCTGTATGCAGGGATACAAAGATCAGTAAGACAACAGTGTCTGTGGTTGAAGCATTTAATCTAATGATGAAAAACAATATGTAAATAAACAACTACCTAATATTTCAAACCAGGTAACAGTCACTATTTGGAGAGCTTGGCCTTTCTGTGTCTCCAAAGACTTCCTGTTCCCAAAGAGTTGAAAGAGAGGTGAATGGTTCCAGGGCTTTAGCATCACTGAGTTATACAGATTGCTTCAATATTCCACAGCTTTAATAATGGACACTTCTCAGCTCTATTCCATTGGACATGATACCTTCCTGACACTGAGCAAAGCAAAGATCATATAAACTTCTATAAATACATATAAACAACTGTGGCGACAGTTGTAACAGTCCGAAAATGCCCATCTCAGAAATTTGTCAAGACAATTTTTTTAACTTGTCAGAAGATGAAACTAATTGACTGTTTTAAGACAACCATACACAAAGCTACCAGGCAAAATGAAATGAGCAGTGGTAATATGTCAGAAATTTTAAAAAAAAAGTATACTGTAACATACCGTTAACCACTGGTTATCTAGCAGCTCCTTAGCTGTGATTCTGTGAGCTGGATCTACTTTCATAAGTTGTTTTAAAACACTTTTAGCTGCAAATAAAGAAACATCCTGAAAATCTTATCTATCTTAGCTCTAACTGATATCACACATTTTTCAATTTATTTAGGATTAGGTCTGTATAACATGGAAAAAAGATGCCAAGTATACAATAAATATCATCAGTATAAATGCCTAATAAATAAAATGTAAGGTCTAAAGCAAAGTTTTATTTCCTGGATTACATAGTTTAATGGTCTATAGTAAAAATTAGCTAGACTATCAGAAATTTACTCTTTAATTTTTACTATGTATTTTCTATTTTTGTGAAAGTTTTGACTATGAACAATCACAGCAAAGATATTGCTATTTCCACAGGTAAATGATGTTTATTTACAAAAGTAAAACATGATTAAACAGAGATTTAATATATTTGAATTACTGGCCAATGTTCTTATATTACTCATATTAGCTTTAGTAAATATTAATAATAACACATCTATAATTACCACAATTGCTTATGGAATCCCAGACTGGATTTTCAAAATGTAGTTCTCCTTTTCTTATTAACTCAAAAAGTTTCTCTTCTGAGCTTGCCAAAAAGGGTAGTTCTCCACACAATCTATGATAAAGGCAATCACTTGGTTTAAACTTTTAAAAAATAATCAAAAGAAGCCTATTAAAAATTAAGTTTCCATGGGACTTGTAAGTTGTGGTAATAGAATAGGAAGAGGTGGGTAGCTCTCTGGATGTAGAAATGGAAGCAGTAGTGGAGTTTACCAAGATAGGTGCTGGCTCCTGTCTCAACATTGAGAGAAATAACCTGGTAGAGGAAGTACACATATATGCATCGAAACCTCCAGATTTGCAAATGACCCAAAACTCTTCCAGGTGGGGAAATGCTAAGCTTAAATGGGGTTAAAATACAGAAAGGAAGTTCAAATGTTCAATAGTAGCGGCAGCTATTATAGGAGAGAACACTCTGGTGTGAGCAATGGTAAGGTAATGCCTTCAGGTACATAATGCAAATACAATGAGTTATCAGAGTCTAATAAGAGTTACTACAGTCTAACAATCATGTAAGAGTTTAATCCATGGTAAAATACTATACAAATGTCAGTAACAATAAAAAAAAAAACAAGAATAACCCTGGGAATTTCTATAGACTGAGTCAAAAACAAAAGTCATTAAAATCGACACAACTCTTCAAAAATTGTATGCACACTGAAGATGGTTTGGATGTGGAAAATCAGATGAGGATTTAATACTTCAGTGTGAAAGCTGAGTATGCATGATGATGACCAACATCAGAACACCATGAGCAGTGTGTATAAGTAAACATAGGTTTGTTTGCATATTCTGTAATACAGGAACAATGCATCTCTAAAATCATTTAACAAAACATGGCAAGCCTATAAAACTCTTGCTTCAACAGGTGATCTAGGCCAAAACGACAAGAACTCACTTAAAAGTTGAGTTCATTTCTTCCTAATACATCCTCACAAATGTTAGGCATTATCATTACAGTCAGCCCCAACATCAGAGGGCAATCCTGTAGACAATAACCAGATCTGCCCAATGACAACCAGGCTGAAGCTGAAGCTGAAGCTGAAACTAGACTCACCACAGAAGCAACTCTGTACATCTATTCTTCAACTCTCAGGACTATATTTTTCCACTTTCTTACTGAAAGAATAAAATGTATGCCATTACAACAAAATGGCAAATTCCATTGTACTTACTAAATTTCAGATCTATTCTGTACATAAGTATAATAATCTCTAAATCTTTTAGCAGTTACATTTTTACTGATTTTCTTTAGTTATATTTTTCTTTAAGTTTCTAAAAGTCTGATACATGAACATTTTCTAAATACATCAAAATTTGATAAATATTTTTGTGATATTAATGACAATGATGACTTTTCCAGGAAAAAAAAAAAGTTGCTTTCATCCTAGGAGTTATCGACTAGGTCAGATAACAGAGCTTTTCAGAGAATAGTATTTACCAAAGTGTTCTGCAACCACTTATTTCAACACTTTTTATTTCTCTAGCTCATTCTGACCCTCCTCTTTCTCATCTCACTTGCCTTTCCATTGTTTGGTTTAAAAATGCAATTTTAAAAAAAACCATAAAAAACAAAAGACCCAGAAAAATGGCCTTATGGACAATTACTATCTATTACAACAAATGCAGGCCGGCAAAAGCATAGTTCTTTGAGTTTGTTGTCAACCAGTGATGTGCACAACCACCAATTTCTTAGCTGCCCCTACATTGCCTGACTAGCATAAGGGCTATAGCCACTATATAGCTCAAGGGCTACATTTTAAAAATTCCACTTTTTTCTGTCCTTTGCAATTTTACTTACACAAAAATATATCTAATGGTTGGTCAATCAGCAGCATACGAAATTTTATTACTTATTGCAGCAATTTTCTGCACATCCAGAAAAGGGAATCTGAGACATGAAAAATGTCTTTTAAAGTCTTCCTATTATTTTCTGTTGCATTCATAGGAATCAAAACAGCAAAAGATAGTAACCATGAGGAATATTTATTTAATTTCACCTTGAGACGTGTTATCAATGTCCAATTAAGCAAAGATGAATCAGAGGTAATTGATAAACAAGAAAATAACCTCTCTGGAGAAGGTAATATATTTGTGCTCTTGTGAAGGAAATTATGTATAACACCACTGGGCTCAGACAGATTAATGAATAAGCACTGATTAACTAAGTAACTCTACTGTAGAGAAAAGAAGACATCACATAATTATATACAGGCATGCTCTAAAGCAGAAAAATTAAAATTATAAATTATATCTTTAAGAAAGATAAAGATTTTTAAGATACGTAATACACTCATTTTCCTTAACACCAAATTCAAACTAAGGAGGTGGCAAACATCTCATGAATTGTGTCAAATTAGATTATACATATTATGTTTTGACTTTTGTTATCCAGAAAGTCTTGAGAGTATAAAAGACTAATTTTAAATAGTTGTATTTTAATTAAAGACTAAGGCTCATAACTTTTGCACTGTAATTCTAATCAACACAAAGCAATGATCAAAAACTTTGCATATACACTTATACTTTATGTAATCTAAGCAATGATCTGTGTTGACCAGCTGAGTTACATCCACAATCACATCATCCAGTTTCTACTGCGTGTGCATTCCATTTCACAGAACTGTGGAAACGTAACTACTGTGATGTCAATATTTAGAAACGATCTAGAAGAGGTAGTGCATACTGAAATCTTCAATGTGACCATAAAACTAATGTTGCATCAAAATAAAAATGTTCATATTCACCGAGAGGCAGAACAATGGTCACTAACTTTTCAGAACACCTCTTAGCCAATTCACTTTAATTCAATTTAACAAACATATTGAGCACTCAATACGTGCTTACTATTGTAGTAAATATCAGGAATGCAAAGATGAATAAGATCTCTGTCCTTCATGGAATTTAGAACAAGGAAAACCGATATGATATTCATAATATTACAACATTGTAACCTAGTTTTAGAAAGTATTATGAGAACACATAAAAGTGAACAATTAATTCTATCAAATTTACACATGAGCAAACCTTCCCAGTTAAATATTCCTATTTTGTTATATTTTCCTTTCAACATTACTGTTTTGCATGCATTCTTGTATGCTGCTTTAAATCCTCTGCAGAGTGGGAAAAGTATATACATAATAAATGTAGTAACTCTGCTATAATGGGGTAGGACAGGAGTTAGGGAAACAGAAGTCTTTAATGTTTGAGCGGGGTCCACCCAGGGGAGAAGCTGACAGAGAAGAAAACAAACACACACATGCCCACATACACCCCTGAGGCATGCAGTGTAGAGGGTGTTTGAGTAATGAAGAGTGGCCTTGAATCACCACATCAGGTGCATGGGAACACACATCCAGCCCAAAATTGGAAAGGCATGCTGGAATCAGGTCACAAAAGATGTGCTACGCCATACCATGCCATGACAAGATGCTCTAATATTTTTCTATAGTAAAACATAATTGTCAGAGATTTTTAATCAGGAAAGTAGTACGATCAGATTTGGTCCTGTTCTTTAGAAGGATAACCTTGATAGCAGCATGAAGGAAAAACTGGGGAGGGTGATCAGAGGCAGGGAGAATAGTCATAAAGATCCTGTAATGAGCCGGGCTCGGTGGCTCAGCCTGTAATCCTGCGCCTTTGGGAGGCTGAGGTGAGTGGATTGCCTGAGCCCGCGGGTTCGAGACCCGCCTGGGCAGCAAGACCTCATCTCTACAATAAATCAAAAAATCAGCCAGGCGTGGTAGCACATGCCTGTAATTCTGGCTACTCGGAAGGCTGAGGCGGAAGGATCACCAGAGCCCAGCAGGCGAGGCTGCGGTGGCCGGAAGCAACCACTGCACTCCAGTCTGGGCGACCGAGTGAGACTCCAATTCAAAAAAAAAAAAAAAAAGATCCTGTAATGTTCTAGAAAAGGGATCATATGGAGAAATTATGTAGGTGAAGAGAAATCAAAGAATAGGTAAGGATACTTCAAAGGAAAAAATGAACAGGACACGAGAATCATGAATCTTGAGAGTGAGAGAGAAAGAAGAGCAAGGATGAGTGAGGCTTCAGTAGCATTAAGAGGATTGGGAATTACAGAATACTCCCAGCTTCCAAATGAACCTGCACCTAGTTAGTGCCCACTCATCACCTATGCCCTGTCTATAGGGGTAGATCTAGTGTCAGATTGCTGTGCCTTCCTGTACCTGATATGCTCTGAGTAAATCTCAAGAGAAAACACAAAGAAGCTTGTGGTTTGTAGCAAGGGATCAGGAGGGCGTTAAGGAAAATTTTTCATTTTGCTCAGATCATATGGTGGATTGTTGCAGTTATAGATCAATGAAAAGCAAAGCTGAAAGTTATAAATTTACAGTATTAAAAAATACCTAAGGGATGTACCTGACAACTAATAAGAGAGCTTTTAGAATGACTTCCCAATTGGCTTTTAAAAACACTTTAAAATATATATATTATTTAGTTTTAATATAAAACCTATATCATTCTACTGTAGGAGACTATCCATTCATTTTAAAGTGTACATTTAGCAAGCTACTTACAAAATGTACATTATGACACCTATGCTCCAAATGTCACACTGCTGGCTATAGTCGTGGGCATTGATAACTTCAGGGGCTGCCAAACAAGCAGAAATAAAATAATATTAATAATACAATAAATGACTTTTAAATGCTTAAACACAAAGCATGAAAAATGTGATGATGTGTTGTAATTTATTCCCCCATTGGGAAAAAAGAACCAACAGCAGATGTTGAATGAATAATGTACAGGCCTTAACAACTGATGTCACTGTATCCTCACCCCATCACTTAGCTTCTAATGGAACGACGGCATAAACTGCATAACTAAATGTACTACTCTTTATTCCTCTGAAATTGTTAAAAAGGATTTTGCAAAGATTGTGTAGTTACAGTAGAAGACAATATCTCAGTCCTTTCCCCAAAATAGAATTGAATATATGCCTTAAGTGGATGTAATAGAAAGCATGTGGAAATCTGGATTCACAGAAAAACTAAGATAAGTAAGTATAAATCATGTTAGTAAAAGAATAATAATAATTACATCACAGCACTTCTATGGCACAATAGAAATTGTTCTCCACATTTTCAAATGAGAAAACTAAGCCAAAGAGAGATCTGCTATAAGACTGGATTAAAAAGCCAATTAGTCACAGGATATGGACTAGGATCCAGGCATTTGTGACTCCCCAGCTCTGTGTTCCTTGCTTTACAAAGGTGTTCACTATACGGTTCCTTTAAATAGCCTTCTCAAAGTGCATCTTTTTTTTTTAACTTTAAGCTTTAACATAGCATTTTTTTTTTTTTTTTTTTGAGTTGGAGTCTCACTCTGTCGCCCAGGCTGGAATGCAGTGGCACACTCACAGCCACCCCAGTGTCGACCTGCTGGCTCTGGGGATTCTTCCACCTCAGCCTTCCAAATAGCTGGAACTACAGGCAGGCACTACCACACCCGGCTCATTTTTTATTTATTGTGGAGACAAGGTCTCGCCAAGTTGCCCAGGCTGGTCTCGAACCCACAGGCCCAGGCAGTCCACTTGTTTCGGCCTCTCAAAGTGCTGGGATTACAGGCTGGGTCACTGAGCCTGGCCAACATAGCATATTTTTAACAATCAGATTTTGGGGGGGGGGGGCGGGCGGGTAATGGCTGTTTGGTTTTTTTTTATTTGTTTTGGCGTTTTTTTGTGGGACAGGGCTCACTCTGTCATCCAGGCTGGATTACAGTATGTGATCATAGCACACTGCAGCTTCAAACTCCTGGGCTCAATAGATCCTCCTACTTCAGCCTCCCAAGTAGTTAAGACTAGAGGTATGTACCACTATGCCTAGTAGGTTGGCTTTTTAAAAAGTCACAAATGATATTACAGGAATATGTCTATTGTACTTCTATAGATAAGCTGGGAGTCATATATTTTTCTTTAAAGAAGAAAGAAAAAAGTTATAAACATAAAAATAAAATATATGTATATATTTCAACAGAACATTAAAATCTACAAAGTATTTTTGCATAAATTGTTATTTGTAAAAATTATGTCAAGAATTCTGAGAGATGGGTATAGAGACATATGACTCCCTTTGCCAATAAAGAAACTAGGGTTCAGATATATTAAGTCACTTGCCTCAAGTTACACAGGTACTGAATGCCTCCTACACAAAAGGCATGTTTTTATTTTAGAAAAGAGTTTCAATCTCCCCCCACCTACACAAATACAGGGATAGACACACACACACTCACACACGCATGCACACATACACGTACACCTTTTACAATAACTACTAAAAGCAAAGGAATTTCATTTCCTCTTTTTTATTCTGCCTATTGCTAAAGGGATGAAAAAGCAACAAAGAGGTCAAAAGATAAACAGAAGAAAGAATGAGAAAAGGCTAAACTACAGATAACTAAAAAACTGAGTAATTTGTCTTCAAATGATTGCAAATTAACTAACTAATATTTTCCTTTCTGCAACTGCTTATATCCTTTAACTCTTATTTAAAATATTTAAATATCTAAAGTTCAAGTTGCCCTATGGCCATGTGCCTTTGACAAGGACAAATTCTGTATTAGAGTCAATGATGGATCTTCATATGGGTGTATCAAACAGCAGGGTGAGGAATCCCTGGTCTTTACTCTTTCAGAGTCATCTGAATTATCAGAGGCACTTCTACCTACACTGCCATCCCAGCCCTCATAGGGAGGCCGAGGCCAGAGTAACTGCAATAGAGCCATTTAGGAAGTCAGCAAAGCTCCACAAACCATCTGTCTTCTCTCTTGTTCTCTTACTTGTTATCAGTGTAGACAACTAATAAGCAGGCATAAAACTCAGGGTGCTTGAATATATTTTCCCCATGTAACTACAGACCAGATGTCTTTTGCCAACAGGGGGATATGAACAGAATCTCAAGTAGCCTTTTCCCAAATAAGATAAAATGATGTCAAAACTATGCATCAAGCAGGCCAAAAGCAATGAACTACGTATACTCCTCAGCAATAAAAATGAATAAACTACTGATACAATAACATGGATGAGTCTCAAAATTATTATGTGTAACAGAAGAAAAGGACAGACACAAAAGCATATGTACTATATGATTCAATTTATAGAAACTTCTAGATAAGAGAAACTGAGCTGTGTTGAAAGAAATCATTAGTGGCTACTAGGATCTGAGTAGGGGATTGACTGAAAGACACACAAAGGCACTTTCTGGGGTGATAGAAATGGTTTGTATCTTGATTGGGGTTGGTGATTACACAGAACTTGTTGAAATTTACTCTTAAAATTTGGGCATTTGATTGTATATAAAATTAGATTTCCATAAAGTAGGAGCTTTTTGGTTTTTGTTTTTATTTTTTTGAGTTGGTATCTCACTCTGTCACCCAGGCTGGAATGCAGTGGAACGATCACAGCTCACCACATCCTTGACTTCCTGGGTTCAGGCGATCCTTTTTCCTCAGCTTCTTGAGTAGCTGGGACTATAGTCTAGCTAATTTTTTGTAGAAATGGAGTCTCACTATGTTACCTAGGCTGGTCTGGAACTCCTGGGCTCAAGCAATCCTCCTGGGATTACAGGCATGAGCCACCATGTTTGTTAGTAGGTTTGTTTAAATCTATGAAAAGTGCAAAAAGAATGTGACAAAGCCCCATCTTGATGAATGACTTTAACTCTCTCTCAGAGATCAACATAAGCAGCAAGCAAAAATAAATTAACAATATGAAAAATTGGAATCACAAAGGTATCACATTTGATTTTAATAAATTCATACAGAAATTTTTATGCTCCACAAACCAGGTATACATGGTTTTAAAATATCCAATGCAACATTTGCAAAAGCTGATCATGTGTTCAATCACAGTGAAAATTCCAAAAAGTTGAAAGCTCAAGATACAATCACTTACTTCAATGAAGAAAATCAAACAGAAAAACTAGATGGCTGGGAAAACTAACATGCATTCGCATGAATATCAAACACAATCCAACCATCTGAAAAATTCTAAAAACACTTCTCAATAATTCTTGGATTAAAGAAGACTAAAACTAAACTTACAGTATAGTAAGAGACAAATCACCAATTAGAATACCACATGGCAAAACAAACAGTCAAAGAAGAACTCAGAAATAATATACAGACTTAAAGGCATCTATTAGAAAATAAGAAGCTTAAGGCTGGATATGGTGGCTCATACCTATAATCCAAGCACTTTGGGAGGCTGAGGTAAGAGGATCTCTTGAGGCCAGGAGTTTGAGATCAGCCTGGACAACAAAGGGAGATCCTGTCTCTACATTAAAAAAAATAAAATTAGTCAGGCATGTGGTGTATACCTGCAGTCCTAGCTAGACTGGAGGCTGAGGAAGAAGTATCATATGAGTCCAGGAATTTGAGGTTACAGTGAGCTATGATCATGCCATTGTACTCCAACTTGGGGGAGAGAGCAAGATTCTGGAGAGAGAGAGAGACAGAGTGACAGAGAGACAGAGAGACAGAGAGAGAATGAGAATAAGAAGCCTGAAGAACAAATAAGCATTTAACTTAGGAAGCTAAAATTAAAATAAATTATTAAGAAGGAATTCAGGAAGATAAAAGCAGACATTAATGAAAAGGCAAAGCAAATAGTATTACACATGAGCTGATATTATTGGGGGCTTTATTATTTTTTGTTTAGTAACTGTCCTAACCACTAACAAATTTGATTAAGAAAAAAATGACTAGTATTACTACAAGAGCTAAAATTGACCACTAAGTACCAGGTACTATGCTAAGCACTTTACATATATTTTCTTATTTAGTTTTCATGTCAACTTGATAAGAAAAATATTATCATGCTAAATATTCGATTCCTGTTTTTTGTCTTCAGCACTTCTCTCTAAAGTACCAGAATTTTAAGCTCGATGAAGACAAAACACTTTTAAGTTTGTTGTATTCCTAATACCTTGAACAATGTCAGACACAAAGTAGATCCTCAAAGAATGTTTGATAGATGAGTGATATAATCCTTATTACAGATGTAGAAACTGTGACAAAAGCAGATAATAAGTGTAGGGCTGAGAATCCTGAGTTAGATTTCAGAGGCCATATTGTTATACTACATCATATTACCTTCTTAAAAATATTGGAAATTAATAGGAGAATATAACTACAGATACAGAGGAGTACCTGAAAATTATAAGTGAATATAATATACATATTTATGCAAATAAAACAAAATCTCAATAAAATAAGCAATTTTCTAGAAAACATAAATTATCAAAATGTTAAAGAAGATGTAAAAAAACTTAATTTAGTATAAATTGAAAATATATAAGAAATTTTATCATCCCAAAAGTGCATCCTGCTGGACTAAAAAATTTTGAGGTGAAATTTAAAAGGTTCATAATCACATAAAAAGTGAAGATTTTTATTTTTAAATGAGATTAACATAATCCTAACATCCAAGACCTAAAAATCTACTTTCCATACAACCCAGCAATCCCCCTTCTGGGAATATACCTGGAGGAATCCAAATCATTCTATAAAAAAGATGCCTACACACGTATGTTTATTGCAGGATTATTCACAATAGCAAAAACATGGAACCAACCATGCTGCCTATTGAAAGTGGACTGGATTTTTAAAAAGTGGTACATATACACAAAATATTACACAGTCATAAAGAAGAACAAAATTATGGACTTCACAGCAACTTGGATGGATTTAGAGACCATAATATGCAGTGATCTATCACAGAAACAAAGAACTGAGTACCACATGTTCTTACTCATAAGCAGACCCTGAACATTTAACATAAGACTATAAGAAAGGGATTGGTTGCCAGGTGTGGTGGCTCGTGTCTATAATTCTAGCACTTTGGGAGGCCGAGGTGAGAAGATTGCCAGAGCCCACGGATTCGAGACCAACCTGGGCAACTTGGCAAGACCTCATCTCTACAAAAAATCAAAAAATTAGCCAGGTATGGTGGTACATGCCTGTAGTTCTAACTACTTGGAAGGCTGAGGCAGAAGGATCACCTGAGCCCAGCAGGTGGAAGCTGTGGTGGCTATGAGTGTGCACTGCACTCCAGCCTGAGCAACAGAGTGAGATTCCAACTCAAAAGAAAAAAGAAAGAAAGAAAGAAAAAAGAAAAGAAAAGGAAAGGGATTGGCAGTAGCAGGACACTGCTGGGGGTGGTGGTATATAACATCAATAAGGGTACCTGATCTCAAACCAGGCAAAGTGGGGACCAAAGGGAGGTCCAAACTTTACCTGTACGATGACCAATTATCTACCTGATCCTGAATTGTTCCCCACATTTTAAAAATAAAAAATAAATTAAATTAAATTTTAAAAAGTAACTACTGATTTTTAAAAAAACAAAGGCAACACAAAAGAAGAATAGTTCTGGTCAAACTCCTAAGTGCTTTGAGAAATCTCCAAACTGCTTTCCACGAAAGTTCAACTAGCTTACATTCCCACCAACTATGTAGAAGTGTTCCTTTTTCTCTGCAGCAGTGCCAGCACCTGTTGTGTTTTGGTTTTTGGTTTTTTGGTGTTTTTTTTTTTTTGACTTTTCAATGATACCCATCCTTACTGGTATTAGGTGGTATCTCATCGTAGTTTTGATTTGCATTTCTCTGATGATTAGTGATGCTGAGCATTTTTTCATGTTTGTTGGCTGCTTGTATGTCTTCCTTTGTGAAGTGTCTGTTCATGTCCTTTGCCCACTTTTTAATGGAGTTGTCTGTTTTTTATCTTCAATTCATTGGAGTTCCTTATGGATTCTGGATGTTGGGTCTTTGTTGGATGCAGAGTTTGCAGAGATTTCCCCCCATTCTGTGAGCTGTCTCTTTACTTTCTTAATGGTTTCTTTTAACATATAGAAGTTTTTTAGCTTGATAAGGTTGCAACTGTCAATTTCCATTTTTTTCTGCATTTGTTTTTGAGGACTTGGCCATAAATTCATTGCCTAGGCCAATTCTAGGAGAGTGTTCCCTAGGTTTTCTTCTAAGATTCTTCCAGTTTGAGGTTTACATTTAATTCTTTGATCCATTTTGAGTTAATTTTTGAATATGGTGACATGTAGGGCTCCAGTTTCATTCTTCTGCAAATGCTTAGTCAGTTTTCCCAGCACCATTTGCTTACTAGGGTTTTCTTTCCTCAGTGTTTGTTTTTGTCAGTTTTGTCAAAGATGAGTTGGTTGAAGGTCTGTGGTTTTATTTCTGGGTTCTCTGTTCTGTTTCATTGGCCTTTGTATCTACTTTTGTACCATTACCATGCTGTTTTAGTTACAGTAGCTTTATAGTAAAGTTTGAAGTCTGGGAGTGTGATACCACCAGCTTTGTTCTTTTTGATAAGGATTGTTTCAGCTATTTGGGCTCTCTCTCTCTTTTTTTTTTGCTTCCATATGAATTTAAGTATTGTCTTTTTTTAGGTTTGTAAAAAATGTTCCTGGTAGTTTGATTGGGATTGCATTGAATCTGTAAATTGCTTTGAATAGTATGGACATCTTAATAATATTGATTCTGGAAATATACCCAAAGGCACACAAATCACTCCACCAAAAAGACACCTGCATGTGTATGTTTATTGTAGCACTAGTCACAACAGCAAAAACATGGAACCCACTCAGATGCCCAATGAAGGTAGAATTGGATTTTTTAAAAGTGTAGTACATATATATGATACAGTACTATGCAGTCATAAAGAAGAACAAAATCATGTTCTTTGCAGCAACATGGATGCAGCTAGAGATTATCATTCTAAGTGAATTATCACAGAAACAAAAAACTGAATACCATATGTTCTCATTCTCATAAATGGACATTAAAAATTGGGCACATAGCTATTTTTAAAAATCATTTAAGTCTACTAACTTACCCATATAAATAGGAGTTCCACATGTGGTCTGCAGCATGCCTTCACTCCTACCTTGCTTCTTCACTGCTAAGCCAAAATCAGTCACCTAGGTGAAAAAAATTCAGGCACAGTCACCTGTTTTTCTGTCCCAAAGCTCACTCATTCTGAAAACAGGACTTTCACCACATTGTACTCGCACAGCATTTGGAATTCTTGGAGGTGGGGGACTTCACTTATATTATTAATAAGGACCTTGCTTTTCCTTCCCCACCAACTCTCATTATGGAGAAGAAATTTGGTAAAAAAAAGAAGTTTGCTCAAATCTTGAGAGAACACCCATGATTTAATTGTTCTTGCCCTCTAATTAAATTTACAGTTCAATATAGGAAGTTGTATCATGAAAGAAGGCACTTATACTTTTTTCATATTAAAAAGTTTTTGTAAAAGTTCTTTCATTGTAAAATACATTCTGGCCTTAATGTATTTATCTATTTTTCTGATAATCAAGTTATGTTCCAGTTAAAGCACAGTTATAAATGCAAATCATTATCCATGTCAGCTCCCACTGAAACTCTTTTTAATAATTATTTATAATTACTAAACACTATCTTTTCTTTACTATTATCTCCTTTGCATTTCTAGAGTATATTAATTAAAACAATTACTACACTATTAAAAAATATGAGAAACAAATAAACAGAAAAAAGCCCACAACAACATAGTATCAACTACAAACACAATGGAGGCCAATTGCTACAACTGTAATCTTTCTACTCAGTTCTAAAGTGAGGTCAGTAAACATTTGGTTACTCAGTATGTGCCCTTGGATTATCCCCCAAGTAGGAATAACCTTAAACTAAAAGCAGAAAAACATGCACATTTATTGATCACACAACCAAATATAGGCTCTTGATCTGCAGACACTGAACGCAGTTTCTAGTGCCCTATGGAATAAGAAATGCTCCTATTAATATGTGATACCACTATTTTTCTAAATAGATAAATCAATTTCTCCAGAAATTTTCATAAATATTCCACTTAGAACATATGATACATATCTTTTTCTACAAAAAAAACTACACAGATATACAAAATATACAGAAAGTTTCACAATCCAATTTAGTTCTTTGGAGAGCATTCATTGAATGTTAACTGAGCACATACTATGTTTCATGCACTACTCCAGGTATAAAGTGAATAAGACATGCATAATTCCTGCCTTCGTGGAGTTTACAGTAGAACTATTCAAGAACAATCACTTGGGTAAACCAGCAATGTTGTTAAACCTACTTATATTACATGAAGATTTAGTTACTGCAACGGAGTGAGCTTCTTACAGACATTTCATTTCTAAACCAATACATTCATATATTTTGAAAGCAGCCACTATTAACATGCTAAATAATAAATAATGTGTCCTATCATTTATTTGACATTAAGGAACACTTAATTTTAATAAAATTTTTTAAATAAACACTTGGCACATTAATTGTGCTTAGAACATAAATATTAATACCCAGGAAAAATTTCCATGAAAAATACAGACTTTAGAATTAATTCAGTATCAAGAGCACAGCCAAGGTGTGCTTTTCTCTAAATCTGTAACACATTTGCATCAAATTACCAGGCATAATTTTGAAATTAATTAGAATCCAGAGCATCTGTTTGCTTACTATTAACTAATGATTTAAAACTATTCAAATAAATATATACTTTTAAAACCATATTCAATAGCACCACTTAACCTGTAAAATTATTTTTGTCAGTTACAACTTTTTTCGTGAAATTTTTATTTTTAAACACAAGTCACCTAATTTTCTGGCTGCTCAGAAGCTACCAAAATGTACCTAAAAAGAAGAGGTCTTTTGCCGTCTTGCTATTAAACTGTTTATGGTTGAATATTTATCACCATTTCTAATATCTTACCTTTATGTTTAAGTTCAATTCATTGTTAGCATCAATAAAGCTGCTTTTAACCAATATGTTTTCCAGTTTTAGATCTCTATGTACAATATCTACCAAGAAAATAACCAAAAAAATGAAATTAATATTGGAAAAATAATTGGAGGGCACACAAATAAATATAATTGACAAATTAATATCCACTGTTGAAAATTTGAGGAGGACCAAACATAATTCTGCCCTGTTCTATTCTCGTGTTTATTAACCCCTTTCCCCACATTTCTCACCTTAAGCCATTTCCTTTCACTCCTTCAACTCTACCCATTCCCTTGGAGCCTTAAGCAGCTCTTCATGATGAATGGTCTGGGGAACGTGAGGGAGGAGCCTATCCAAGCCTGGGTACTCCCAGAAGGAGGGGATAATAGCCACAAACCCTACAAGGTTTCCCATATCCTTAGGACTTCAAATAGAGGATTACTTCCTCACTTCTATGTATATGTTACTGTCAACATAAACATTTTAACACACTGCAACTTGGCTACACATATACAAACTATATTCATTTCAGTATATTTTTCTACAGCATCAATACACATTTTCTTACTCTTTATATTTTAAAACCAACCAAACAAAAACCCTTGATTCACAAAATCTCCAGCTGAACATATCAGAGCTCAGGTAGGATTTTTGTGTAATACAAATAATCATGTATCAAACACTTCCTTTGCAAATAATTAATTCAGTTCATATCCATAACAATCATTTCCCTAGACATAAAAAGTTACATGTATATTGCTAGAAAATACTGCTAGTAATTGCTAGAAAAAATGTAATTTAATGAGCCCTGGACTGGCAATTTTTCCTAATCGATTATAGCTCCTTTACTCAATTCCCAGGCTTTGTTTTTGGAATTTTTACTGTTTCAAATGCTCTGCTTGCTTCTTTTTACATAAATACCACACTTTTAAAACTAATATATCTTTATATATTTTGACTTATGGCAGGACTATCTGCTGCTTCCACTGTTCTTGTTCTTGTTTTTCATTATAATTTTGGCTATTCTCACCCATTTTAGAATAACCTTATCAAGGTCTATGAAAAGTACTATGAAGATTCTGTTTGGAATGATACTGAACTTATAGTCTAATATGGGAGGATATCAAGCCCTTGCAAAAATTGTCTCTCTCTGTCTGGAAAGCCCACTCTTTATTTTCTGTATTGTATTCCTCAGATCAAACATAGCTCCCTCTGTGAATTCTTTACTGACTTTTCTTTTCTTTTCTTTTTTTTGAGTTGGAGTCTCACTCTGTCGTCCAGACTGGAGTGCAGTGGCCGCTCCCGGCCACCGCAGCCTCGACCTGCTGGGCTCTGGCGATCCTTCCACCTCAGCCTTCCGAGTAGCCGGAATTACAGGGGCGCGCTACCAGTAGCCCGGCTAATTTTTTGATTTTATTGTAGAGATGAGGTCTTGCCTGCCCAGGCGGGTCTCGAACCCACGGGCTCGGGCAATCCACTCACCTCAGCCTCCCAAAGGCGCGGGATTACAGGCTGAGCCACCGAGCCCGGCTAATGAGGCACTTACACTCCTGTAATATTTGCCCTTTATATAACTTTCCATTAAGGAATTATTATGTTGCATTACAATTTGTTTTCCATACTCAATCTCCCAGCAACCTGAATCTCTTGAGGGATGGGGGCCTTGTCCCTTCATCTCTGTAATTCTATGACCAATCACACAGCAGTAGGTGCTCAGGAAATATCTGCTGAATGAACCACTGGGTTCCAGTATCAACTTTGCCACACCAAACCATGTCTCTGCACCTCTCTGGAATAAAGTTTTTCTCATCTGTAAAATGAGACGGTTCTAAAGTCACATGTAGCCTTGAAGAAAAAAGGGGAGGAGCCTGAGGAAAAGCAGCGGCAGCAACACCAAAGAATAGTAGAGTAATCCGAATTTTTAAATGTGGTTTTTAAAGTATTGTGGTTTAAGAGTTTAAAGTGTTACATTATAATGGTGGATTAATGACATTATACATTTGTTAAAACCCACAGAATGTACAACACCAAGAGTGAATCTTAATGTAAACTATGGATTTTAGGTGAGTGATGTGTCAATGTAGGTTTATCAATTGTAACAAATATATCACTCTGAGGATTTTGATAGTGGAGGAGGTTGTACTTATGTGGGAGCAGACGAATATATGAAAAATCTCTATACTTTCCACTCAATTTTGCTGTGAACTTAAAATTGCTTTTAAAAAAATGAAGTTTAGCCGGGCTCGGTGGCTCAGCCTGTAATCCCGTGCCTTTGGGAGGCTGAGGTGAGTGGATTGCCTGAGCCTGCGGGTTCGAGACCTGCCTGGGCAGCGAGACCTCATCGCTCCAATAAATCAAAAAATCAGCCGGGCGTGGTAGTACATGCCTATAATTCCGGTTACTCAGAAGGCTGAGGCGGAAGGAACGCCGGAGCCCAGCAAGTCGAGGCTGCAGTGGCCGGGAGTGGCCACTGCATTCCAGTCTGGGCGACAGAGTGAGACTCCAATTCAAAAAAAAAAAAAAAGAAGAAGTTCAAAAAGGCAAAAAACAAAAAATGCTAGAACATATAGATTTTTAATGTCACTATTAATATATGTTTTCTGGAAATTTCAAATTTATCATTGATTTGCCTATTTTTTATTTTATAATACTAGCTGCTTTTCAAATAGAATAAAAATGTTCATAATTTTATTCTTATTCATGTACAATATATTGTATAACCACCTTGTTCCTAATTAAAATATACCTAAAGTTAAAAGGAAAACATTTTAATTAAAAATTAAATCTTCTGTATTAGCAGGTATCATTTATGCAACTATGAATTCAGAATAAAATTACCCTTAAACAAAACTGATATCTGCATTCATGGAGTCAATGAATGGGATGATTCTCTTCTTACCATTATTGTGAAGATATGCTATAGCTGATGCAAGACTTTGGATGATCCATCTTGTCTCATTCTCTGAGAAATTCCCTTTCCTATCCAGAATTTCTTTGAGTTCTCCATCCTCACAAAGTTCCATCACAAGGTACATTTTCTGACATTACATATTTAGGAGAGAGAGAGAGAAAATTGTATAGCTGGAGGTGTTTTAAATATTATATATTACATACATAATCACAATCTTAATCATCAATCTATCCATTCAAAAATATTTATTATCTATCATGTAGAAGATACTGTAGTAGATAATGAAGAAACAAAGGAGTATAAGACAGTCTTCACCCTCAAGAAGCAAACAGATAATTATAATTACAATATCATGTGATAACTGCTAATGGCCTCCATGCCATCTCTACCTAAAGAATGCTCATTGATGAGCAACATTAAAGCCCAGTCTGGATTTCTGAATAGGGACTTATGAGTAGAGAATGTGGGGAAGAACAGGCAGAGCACATGGTATTCACAAAGACTCCAAAGCTTGAAACAGCACTGGCTGTTAAAAGAACAAATATCTCAGTGTTAGTAGCATTGGGAGCTCAGTAGGATGAAGAGTGGAGTGGTGAGGGGTGAGGCTAGAAAGAACAGGTTGGTGCCTGATTGTAAAAAGCCTTGCATATCATGCTAAGGAACATGACTTTTCCCCCATATTCAATAAGGAGCCACTGAAGGTTTTTAAGTGTCTTGGGCGTGGAGGGGCTGGAGATAATGCTATTACCAAGTATGCATTTCTAAATGAACACTCTAGCAGTAATGTAGAACAGGACTCAGCAAATGTTTTCTAGAAATTGACCAGACCCAACAGCAAGTCATATGGTCTCCTTCACAACTACTCAACTCTGCTGCTGTAGCATGGAAGCTACCAGAAGCAATATAACAAAACTTTATTTATAGACTCTGAAATTTCAGGCTTATATAATTTTTGCATCATGAAATATTATTCTTTTACATTTTTTCAACCACTTGGAAGTGTAAAAAAGTTAGTTAATGGGTCATATAAAAATAGGCAGATTTGCCTTGTAGGGTGTAGTATGCTGACCTCTGTTTAGAGAGGGCAGATGTGAAGCATAGAATAAAAAGAAGGGGAAATAAAAAAGAATGTAAAAAAAAATACCTACAAGGAAGATACAGTGTGATTTAGTAACTAATCAGGTGTCAGTGGTAAGAAGTCAAGGAGGAAGTGCCTCTTTCTCATTGGCTGTTGCTGTTGAGGCATATTAAGATCACTTTAGGTATTCCAGCATCAAGTTATCTGTTGAGTTAAGAAGATTCACAGCCTACTAAAACACAAGTCTTTTTCATACATATTGCTATTCAAACATATAGTACACTTCCGTCTCCATTCTAACCTCTGGTGCTAGATTTTTGTTGTTTTTTAAGATTCTGGGGCCTGAATCTGTCCTTATAAACACTGCTGATGCAACTTCTGTGTTCAATCAATAAGCATGAAAACAGGAAAGGAAGGTTAACACCCTTCCTTCCTACAGCCACAATTCTGATACTGAACCTCAGGCTGCTTTAGAATTGCAAAAGTAACTGTAAAGTCTGACACATAAAAATCTTTTGAACTGGACCATATTTTTTCCACTGATGGCACCGTATAGATTACTGGTACACAAAATGATAAGTGAGCCATTTGGAAGGAAAAGTTGCATTAGTAGTACTTACAATATAAATTGATATCAACTTTAAATATGTAAATTGAGCTGGGCTCAGTGGCTCAGCCTGTAATCCCGCGCCTTTGGGAGGCTGAGGTGAGTGGATTGCCTGAACCCGCGAGTTCGAGACCCGCCTGGGCAGGCGAGACCTCATCTCTACAATAAATCAAAAAATTAGCCAGGCGTGGTAGTGTGCGCCTGTAATTCTGGCTACTCAGAAGGCTGAGGCGGAAGGATCGCCAGAGCCCAGTGGGTAGAGGCTGTGGTGGTGGGGAGTGGCCACTGTACTCCAGTCTGGGCAACAGAGTGAGACTCCAACTCAAAAAGTAAATAAATAAATAAATATGTAAATTGGTCAAAGTTATAGCAATAAAAGTTGTAAGTCTTTCTGTAATTATTAGAAACACTTATGTAGGCCTGGAGAACCTTTAGACTCACAAGAAACCATAGCATAGTCAGGCTGAATGATCAGTACCATGGCACAACTAATCAGGCAGCAATTTCCATTAATCTTTAAAATGGCTTCAACAGACAATCTATACATCTGTGTGTTTATGGAGCAAAGAGGGCAGATTTAACCTATGAATCAAGGGCAAGCAATACACACACACACACACACACCAGATAATGGTCCTTTGCATTCTAACTATTCTAGATTTAGACTCCTGCCTGTGCCCATGATTGTGTAACAGAGACTAGACTTACCCTCTCGCCTGAAACAACTTAAGAAACGAACAAAATCTATAAAACAATAATTTCAGACATTCAACACCAAGTAGCATAGGGTACTATGATCCCTGAGAGAGAGGAAACACAGAAGGCAAGCCCATGATTAGCCTAGTTTAATGTTGGAAACAATTTCCAGACCACAGAACAGGGAGGGGGAATCCAAGGAGAGCCCAGCAGTCTCCATGAACTAAGGAGGTGGAGCTGGGAGTCCAGGAAGGACAAAACAACTAAAGTTCACAGGACAGAGTATCAAAGAGAAGAAACCTGCAGAGAAAGAAAGCTCCAGTGATTTGCAGACGGCCCCCTCAAGTCTTTGGCAGACTACCAATCAACACCTGTGTATGAAGAAACTACCCAAAGCTGGGGGGAGAAAACCTGGAAAGGGAGAAGAGGGAACAATCACTGGAGCTTACACACAGCCAGGAAAAGTTTGTGTTCCCATTAGCCATAATTCATAGGGCACTGGGGAGAGTACTCAGCAGGGCTGTACCACAGTAGTAGAGAAAAATTAGTTTTGGACTAAAGGTTGCTCCGGTGCCACCTAGCAAAGCTTAAAGCAATCTTCAAAAGTGTTTCCAAGTGACTTAACTATATCCTAGAATAAAGCTCAAGAATGATTACAAGAATATAAAAATATCTAGCAGTCAATAAAGTAAAATTCACAATGTCTGGCATCCAATAAAAAATTAATACAAAGAAGCAGGAAAGTATAAATCCTAATGGCGGAGAAAAAAAAATCCATCAATTGAAAATGACCTAGAAATGACACATAGGATAAAATTAGTAGAAAAGGACATTTAAACAGTTTTTATAACTATATTCAAGAAGAATGAAGAATGACTGAGAATGTTAAGTAGATACATGGGCAATATTTTTTTAAAAACCAAATCAAATTTCCACTGGAAGAGATTAACAACAAATACAATGCTACAGAAAAAGAGATTACTGAATCTGAAGACATAGCAATAGAAACTATACAAAATGAAACAAGGGAAGAAAAAAATTGAGAAAAATAATCAGAGAACATTAGCAAACTGTGGACAATATTAAGCAACCTAACTTGGAGTCTCCAAAGGGAGGGAAAGCACCAAAAAAAAAAATGAGGAAGCAATGGCCTAAAAATTCCTAAATTTAATGAAAACCATAAACTCACAGACCTATGAGACAAGAACCATGAAGAACAAAACTATATCAAAGCACCTGATAGTCAAATTGCCTAAAACTGATGATAAAGAACTAAACTATTCTAAGAAGATTTGGGGATAAAAGAAATCACAACTCTGAGGCTGAAAAGGGCAGAGAAGACTTTTGGCATTATTATCACATGTTGCATCCATAATGAATCAAGCAGAATGCATAACCTAAATTCACTATTACTACGTTAGAGACTGGCAAAGGAAATGAAGAACAATAGCTAACACTTAATGAGACAGAGGCTTTGTGTTCATTGCCCCATTTGATCTTTTTTTTTTTAAATTTTTATTGCAAAGATGTGGGGTATAATTCAGGGTTAGGTATACAAACATTAGTCACGCAGGTACCCCTGTTAATGAGGTATGCCCCCCCCCAGCAGTTTCCCTCAACTGCCAATCCCACCCCACCAACAGTTTCCCATTACTGCCAATTGCTTTCTTATAGCATTATAATTGTTCAAAATCCTTTTATGAGTGAGAACATATGGAACTCTGTTCTTTGTTTCTGTGATACTGGCAAGGATGTAGAGAAAAAGGAATGCTTCTACACTGCTGGTGGGAATGCAAACTTGTACAACCTCTCTGGAAAACAATCTGGAGATTTCTGAAAGAACTAGAAATTGACCTCCCATGTACTCAGCAATTCCCCTATTGGGAATACACCCGGAGGACCTCAAATTATTCTACAGAGAAGATACCTGCACACGTATGTTTGTTGCAGCTCTATTCACAATAGCAAAAACATGGAACCAACCATGTTGCCCATCAAAGCTGGACTGGATAAAAAAATGTGGTACATATTAACAATGAAATATTATGTAGCCATGAAGAACGACAAATATATGGACTTTGCAGCAACCTGGATGGATCTGGAGTCAATCATACCCGTTTGATCTTCCAACAACCAAATGAGGTCAACACTATTACTAAACCCATTTTACAGATGAGGAAATTGAGGTATAGAGAAGTTGAATAATTTGCCCCTGGTCTCATAACTAATAAGTGGTGGAGCTAGGATTCAAATGCACAGGCAATTAGACCCCAGAGACTGAGCACACATCTAACCACAACATTATCCTGCTTCCAAACAGAGAAAACACCCAAGTCTACAGCACTAAGCAAATCTGGAGGCAAATAATCCATGCTTTTGAACAACTCTAAATGAAAATTACAGACATTTAAAGAGAAGTGTGATAACAGGGAAATCAAAAGATAAAACACATTGGTAAGATACAGTATCTTTTACACACTATAGTGACAAATATCCCCATGCCCTTTGATTATGAAGCTAACCTTGCAAAATTATGACAATATTCTGATAGACTCTAATGGAGACACTAAGGATCAATATAAAAGAAAAGCCACCTCTTAAAATGTTCTGATCACTATTTGGTTGTATATGAATTCGTTTTAATTTTAAACATTTATTTTCAACATGCCATCCAGAACATATTACAGAAGACATCAGTCTAATCATCAGACACCTAATTATACAATCAATAATAAAAGTCCTCCTGAATGTTCTCATCAATCTCCAGTGTCAGATTCACACCAAGGACATGAGCAACTGTGCCCCAAAGGGATTGCTTTAGAACAGAAAGATACTCATTTTGTAACAATAGCAACTTTCAAAAGGCAGCGCCTAATAGAGCTTTACCTTTGGTGTCTCAAATACTTGTTCCAAATGTATGATGTGTTCATGTTTTACACTTTTTAGGATGTTTACCTCCCGTTCAAGTAACTTCACAGCAGAGCTTCCAGCCTTAATCAATGAGGAAACACACATTTCACATAATGAAACTCACTCCTATATTCCTCATATGAAAATTAGTTACTGTATATTTTTCCTACATTTTTTGAGAAGGTTCTTTTTCAAATGATAGTATGCCATTTATTCTCATGATCAGATTAAATTCTGCCCTTCTTTCTTTTGTCCAACTTTAGGTTATATATGATTTGGCCTTAAGCCAAATGTGTTTCTTGGACTGTTTCTATAATTTAGATAATAAAGTATCTGTTCCCTCACAAAATTATTCCAATTTTTAATATACTTTTTTGATAATTCTTTCAAAATTATGTTGATCCTTTGATGTTAGCATAATAAAAACAAAATCTACTTCCAGAATCATCAATTGGAGAAGACAAAAACAAAATGTTTTTCTTTTGTTTTGTTGTTGTCTTGTTTTGATTTGATTTATATGTATATCCCGTGCCTTTGGGAGGCTGAGGTGAGTGGATTGCCTTGAGCCCGCGGGTTCGAGACCCGCCTGGGCAGCGAGACCTCATCTCTACAATAAATCAAAAAATCAGTCGGGCGTGGTAGCGCATGCCTGTAATTCCGGCTACTTGGAAGGCTGAGGCGGAAGGATCACTGGAGCCCAGCAGGTCGAGGATGCGGTGGCCGGGAGTGGCCACTACACTCCAGTCTGGGCGACAGAGTGAGACTCCAACTCAAAAACAAACAAACAAACAAAAACCCACAGACAATGAAATTCTACACTTGTTTTGATTTGATTTATATGTATAAAAAAACCCACAGACAATGAAATTCTACACGAGGGCCTGCATTATCTTATTTCCTGGTCCTCTTTGTTAACTGAGGAAGACACAGAGACAGACAGACAGAGACAGAAAGAGAGAGAAGAGAGATCTTGCCTTAAGACCAAACTTAACCTCAACTTTATTTCCTAACATCTAACCCTTACCATACAGACAGCAAAAGATAAAATCAGTAACACTCCAGAGAGCACAAGGACTTCATTCAGGATATAGTGTGATTATCAACAATGTCATTTAAGAAGTTCTAGAAAGGTTTTCTCCACCTCACTACAACCACCCCCCCAATCATATAAAATTGCCATTATTTGATATTAAAATTGCCATTATTTGAGGATAAGCATTGTCCTCATTTATGGCTCTTATTTCCACATAAAAATATCCCTGCTATTTTTTTGACTGGTGCTCAACTTTAATATTCCTAATCCTGTTCTTCTATATGCACTCCCCCACCCTAGCCAGTTTGGAAGAGGACGGAACGGTTCTTAAAAGAGTAGAAAGGGATTGATCGTAAGGTGAACTTTATCTAGTTAAAATATTACCTATGGTGGTTTCTGCTTCCAGTTATCTTTACTCTTCAACCTTTAGCATCTCAGGAATGGGTAGGATACTGACCACCCTACTATGTCCCACCCATGAAGGGAAAAAGTCACATTTAAAGGTTCACCTAGAGGATCAAGAGACATACTGACTGTGAGGAGTGAATTCTTGTTTAGACTAGATATAGAAAGTTACCACACTTTCTCCCGATATCAACCTAAATTCTGTGTTCCCCTTTGTCCAAATGGCTTGACCTGACTATAATGCAATAATATACTGTTCTATTCATATATTAATTATATAATTTCATTATACTATCTTAATTCCTGCAAACTCCCAACACCAATGTGTGTTGGAAAAATTATCAATTCCTAAAATTGTAAGCAGGTATCCTGTTTATATAATCCTGAAACTGAGCCCCTGACCCTACCTACCAGAAGAGCAAAGGAAAATAATAATATCCCAGGTAGCACTTGGGATGCTACCTAGAGTTCTACTAGAGTGCTGAAAAATTCTAAAGTTTTCTAGAAATGCTCTTAATCATTTTATTAGGATTGGTATGTTATCTTACTAAACTTTAAGGAGAAATGGTATGCAATTTGCTACAGTTGTTTTAAACAATACATAAAGCCTACTATTTCATTTTGCAGATGTAATATTTATTATCACAAGTTCAAGGGGAAAACACTGTAATGTTGTCATTTTGTTTTTCCTAGGCACAGAAATGAAAAAAGTTAATGAAATGACCAAGTGTAAAAGTCTCAGGTCTTAAATTCTACCTTAAAGAGAAGCCCAGTTGTTCTCCATTCCAAGAGGAAATCCAGTAAGCAATACAGTGAATACAAGTAAACAGTATAGTAGCAAATTCTTGGAGAAAAAAAGTAGATAAAACTGAAAGAGCAGGTAGGACAAACAAACAGAATTAGCTAACAGTGAGGAAACATACAGAGAGGATAGGAGAACGATGTATCAGAACAGCATAGGGAGAGGGTCTCAGGACTTACTTCTAACCCAAACACCGCTAGCCCATAGCCCTACACCTATGCACACTGAGAACCAGCCCTTACCTTCAGAGTACTCTGGCAAGATTTGCCTGTATTTGGTTATATCGGTTTTGTTAATCTTTCATTTGCTTTTTCCAGACAACACTTGCCTACCTTAATTCAAGAACTGGTTCCTTTCCAGGAGGCTAGAGAAATGCCACCACTCTTCTCCAGGGGATCAGCCCAGGCCCTGGCCCTCAGGATCTGTGGCAGCTTCTGTTTGTGTGAAAAGCTATACTGCCCACATCTACTGGCACTGGCAGTGTGCCCTCAGTATGATGCTGTAAATAAGCCTTACTTTTTCTTTGTTCACTTTTTTAATTGCCCACTTCGTCTCTGTTTCCTTGTCTGTAGCTTCAATGACCATTCCAAAGCTCCCTCGTCCCAATATTCTTCCAAAGGTATAGATTTCCTGGAGAAAAAAAGACTTCTTTATCTCTCTGTGCCATTCATCAGATATTAAAAATGAACATACAATACTAACAGATATTCACCTAAGGGAAGAAAGATTCTGCTCCAGGGTAAAATCAAATAGAAGACACTACATATTTGCTTCAGTATTAATAAACACATCTTAATTAACCCAAAGTAAGTTTTGATGAATTTTATTAAATGTCTTTTGGAGGAAAACCATAAAAACTCTAATGATGAAATGTGGAAAAGCACAGATGCATAAAAATGAATCTCTTTCAAACTATAATATTAATAAAATATCTTCATATGAGAAAGAAGAAATGGAATATTAATACATATATAAATATGTGTGTCTATAAAATACATTCACCCCAAAATTCCAAAATGTGAGAGCTATATTACAAAATCAACACATATTAACTACTGAATAATTGTTTTCTTGTTTAACAGTAATGTTTTTTCTTTATCTTCATTTATATTAAAATTGCTTTTGTTCTTTTATTCTTTTTGCTTTAGAAAAAGCATTATGTGAAGAAAATAAACACAACCCAGAATACCACCATCCAGACCAAGAGTGCTTCCCCTTATCATTTAACTTCCTTCTGCTTGTAAAGAAAGAATGCACTGGTTTTGCCAACATCAGCATTCTGGTTCACATTGTAAAATTATGAACAGGCAAGTAGATTACACTTTCATTTCTTGTTAAGTTTGGTTGGTAGAAGTCAGCCTCCCTCATCCAAATCAACTCCCAGACATTAACAAGAGTTTTTAGATCCATCATGTATAGGGATCAGCACAAGGGGGAAAAGCTGAGCTAATGCCCCTAGGTGACGCCTCGGTGGGTCAGCTAGCCAAAGCCTTCCCTAGAGATGTCTCTCTCTCTCTCTCTCTCTCTCTCTCTCTCTCTCTCTCTCTCTCTCTCTCTCTCTCTGAGACACTTTCACACTCACAATGCAACAGGTAAATTAGCTGCCTGTCTTCATATTTTCTAATGCTTACATTCTTTTCTTATTTTTGTAAGAGAAGAGTCAATGTCCAACTAATTACTCACCTCCTTCATGAAGGGCTTCCCTGCTTAACTGCACCATGATAACTGTTCCTTTATTTTTCCTCCCTTCAGCATGTATACATTGGTCCTCAAACACTATTATTACTCTCTTGTTTAAAAACATTTTGGCTCATTTTTTCTCTCATTTTTTCTTCCAAGATGGACTAGAAGCTCCTTAAGAAGCTGTTTCTTTTGTGTCCCTTAGAAGAGCTAGCTCCTCCCTCTTCCCCAATTAGTAGCACTTAATAGTGAGAATCAAAGTCAGAAGACTTAAATGATTAATTAGAAAATAAGACAAAATATGATTTTATCCTTATTATATTTATATGCAACTCCCAACTATATACAGGCACACCTCAGAGATAATGAAGGTTTGGTTCCAGGCCACTACAATAAAGTAAATACTGCAATAAAGCAAATCACACAAATTTTTTGGTTTCCCAGTGCATATAAAAGCTAAATTTACGTTATATTATAGCCTATTAACTGTACAATAAAATTATGTCAAAAATGTACATAACTTAAACTTAATACTCTATTCCTAAAAAAAAAAAAAAAAACTAACAATCATCTGAGCCTTCAGCAAGTCATAATCTTTCTGCTGGTGGAGGTTTGCCTCCACACTGATGTCTGCTGACTGCTCAGGTCAGTGGTTATTGAAAATTAAAGTAGTTGTTGCAATTTCTAAAATTAAGACAGCCATAAAATTTGCTGCATCGATTGACTCTTCCTTTCATACAATATTTATCTGTAGCATGCAATGCTGTTTGATAGCATTTTACTCACAGAACTACTTTTAAAATTTAAGTCTTTTTTTATTCCTTTCTTCAGGAAACACATGTGCATATATGAATTTTTGAAAGAAGGTATGGGAAAAAAGAGAAAATGAATTTTTTAGACAAAAATATATTTTGTGATATGCAAATGTTGCATTAATATACACATAGATATACATATTACTATTAGTTAATGGCCTTATAATTTATTTTATTAATATAATCAGTAAAACTAAACTAAAAATTATATGTATATGTGTGTGTTCATGAGTAATGTGTGAACTGTCTAACTGGAATTTAAATTTAATGGATTGCCTGAGCCATCCATTTAATTGGTGCATATTTCTACTCTAGAATTATCTAAGGATTAAGTGAACATTTATTTGTTCATCTGTAACCCCACACTATGATTCTACTTTTTCTTTGTATTAAAAAAGTCTTCCACATGGCCTATGAACTTTCTTGGAAAATAAAGACATGCCTTTTTTCTTCTAAAAAAAAAATTAAGTCAATTCTCTCAAACCCTACTGCTGCTTTATCAATTAAGTTTATGTAATATTATAAATCCTTTGTTGTCATTTCAACAATGTTCACCGCATCTTCACCAGGAGTAGTTTCCAGCTCAAGAAATAACTTTCTTTGTTTATCAATATGAAGCAACTCCTCATCAACTAAAATTGTATCATGAGATTGCAGCAATTCAATCCCCTCTTCAGGCACCACTTCTAATTCAAGTTCTCTTGCTATTTCCACCACATCTGCAGTCACTTTCTCCACTGAAGTCTTAAACCCTTCAAAGTAATCTATGAGGGCTGGAATCAGCTGTTTTCAAACTCCTGTTAATGTTGGTATTTTGGCCTTCTCTCGTAAATTATAAATGTTCTTAATGACATCTAGAGTTGTGAATCCTTCATAATGTTTTCAACTTACTTTGCTCAAATCCATCAAAGGAATCACTACTTATGGCAAAGATAGCCTTATAAAATGTATTTCTTAATAGTAAGACTTGAAAATCAAAATTACTCCTTGATCCATGGGCTGCAAAATGAATGTTGTATTAGAAGTCATGGAAACAGTAATCTTCCTGTACATCTCCATTAGAGGTCTTGGATGACTACAAACATTATCAATGAGCAGTGATATTTTGAAAGGAATCTTTTTTTCTGAGCAGTAGGTCTCAACAGTGGGCTTAAAATATTCAGTAAACCATGCTGTAAACAGATGTACTATCATCCAGAATTTGTTTTCCCATTTATAGATCACAGGCAGAGTTGATCTGGCATAATTCTTAAGGGCTCTAGGATTTTTGAAACAGTAAATGAGCATTGACTTCAACTTAAAGTTACCAGCCGCGTTAGCCCCAAAGACGAGAGTCAGTCTATCTTTTGAAGTTTTAAAGTCAGGCATTGACTTCTCTTCTCAAGCTATGAAAGAAATTGGCATCTTCTTCCATATGAGACTTTTTTGTCTACATGAAAATCTGTTGCTTAGTGTAGCAATCTTTGTCAATTATCTCTGCTAGATCTGCTAGATAACCTGTCACAGCTTCTACATCTGTACTTGCTGTTTTACCTTGTGCTTTTAGGTCATGGAAGTGGCTTCTTTCCTTAAAGAACCAGCCTCTGCTAGCTTCCAACTTTTCTTCCGCAGTTTCCTCAACCTTCATAGGATTCTTTTTTTTTTTTTTTTTTTTTGAGTTGGCTGGAGGGCAGTGGCACACTCATGGTCACCCCAGCGTCAACCTGCTGGGCTCCAGCGATTCTTCCACCTCAGCCTTCCAGGTAGCCAGAACTACAGGCACATGCTACCATGCCCAGCTCATTTTTTATTTATTGTAGAGACAAGGTCTTGCCAAGTTACCCAGGCTAGTCTCAAACCCATGGGCTCAGGCAATCCATTCGCCTCAGCCTCCCAAAGTGCTGGGATTACAGGCTGAGCCACTGAACCTGGCCGCTTCATAGAATTAAAGAGAGTTCATTCTGTTCTGGATTAGGTTTTGGCTTAAGGGAATGTTTTATCTTCTATTCAGACCACTGAAACTCTCTCCATATCAGCAATAAGGCTGTTTCACTTATCATTCATATGTTCACTGGAGTAGCACTGTTAATTTCCTTCCAGAACTTTTCCTTTGCATTCTCAATTTGGCTAACAATTTGGTGCAAAAGGCCTAGCTTTCAGCTTATCTCAACTTTCAACATGCTTTTCCCATGAAATTATTCCTACATTTTGATTTAAAAGGAGAGACATGCAACTCTTCTTTTCACTTGAACCATTGTAGGGTTATTAATTGGCTTAAGTGCAATATTGTGTCTCAGGGACTAGGGATACTCAAGGAGAGGAAGAGAGGTAGAAGAGTATACAGTCAGAACACACACAACATTTATTAAGTTCACCATCTTATATAGAAGCATTTTGTGGCAACCCAAAACAATTACAATAGTAACATCAAAAGTCACCGATCACAGGGCACCACAACAGATATAATAATGATGAAAAAGTTTGAAATATCCAAGAATGACTCAAATATGACACAGACACAAAGTGAGCACATGCTGTTAGAAAATGGTGCCAGGCAACTCCCTCAGGTCCCCTCCCACTCTGGGAGCTTTTCTGTCCTTTCAATAAATCCTGGTTTCTCAACTTAAAAAAAGAAAAGAAAAATGGTGCCAACAGAGTTGACTGATGCATTTACCAAAACCTCCAATTTGTAAAAGACTGTAATATCTGCAAAGAGTAATAAAGCAATGCACAATAAAAATGAGGTACGCCTGTATTATGTAAAGTGAGTTAAACATCAATTAAAATGGTCATTTACTCTGTTTTTTCCCACAGAACAAAATAATCTCTTCAGAATCATCTCTCCAATTTTTCTTGTCCTTTAAAAGTTTAATTTTTGCTTTCTCTCTAAATAGATAGAACCACAATTTGGATATAGTATTTCAATACTATGTAAATTGGACTTTTAAAATCAGAAATGGATAGCTAGTTTGTATGTTTTTTATAAACTAACCTTTTTCTTCAACTGTTTTAATATTATCACATAGAGGTAAAAATAGGGAGAGAATGGCTTCTTGTTTCTAATAACTTAAAGAGGACGCTCTTTTTTTTTTTTTTTTTTTGAGTTGGAGTCTCACTCTGTCACCCAGACTGGAGTGCAGTGGCTGCTACCGGCCACTGCAGCCTCGACCTGCTGGGCTCCGGCGATCCTTCCACCTCAGCCTTCCAAGTAGCCGGAACTACAGGCATGTGCTACCACGCCCGGCTGATTTTTTTATTTATTTATTGTAGAGATGAGGTCTCGCTGCCCAGGCGGGTCTCGAACCCATGGGCTCAGGCAATCCACTCACCTCAGCCTCCCAAAGGCGTGGGATTACAGGCTGAGCCACCGAGCCCGGCTAGGATGCTCTTTTACAATGATAATATAGACCTACTTTTATTGACATAGAAGTCCATGATATAATATAGACAGTTAAAAGTATACATATATGATCTAATTATGAAAATGTGTGTATGTGGAGGTGCTTACACTGATGTCTGGGAAAATGTCCATCTAAATATTAATAGTAGTTACCTACAGGTAGTAGAATTGTGGGTGCTTGTAACTTCCTTCTTTATACTCTTCTGAAATGGACAAAATATCGCTTCTTGGTCTTTTGGCTAAGATCAAGTGAAATGTTCAAAATATTTAAAATGAGCCTGTCCATTTTATGGATGAAGAGAAGCTTCAACTTCAACTATACCAGTCAAGCTTATTTCTTTAAAACATATGCATATTTGGAATATTCCCTAATCTAAAACAGAAAAAAATTAAATAAAAAATAGAATAAAACTAATATACACACAGAAAAAATGAACTAAAGATAACAATTATTAAATTGGTTATGTCTGACTAGTGATTTTTATTTTCCTCACTTTCTATCTATACTTATCTAATTTTTCATAATGAACATATTTTGCTCTTATAAAAGCTCTAAAGGGTAATTTAAGTTGGTAAATTTGTAGCGTGTCTTTTTAAGCACAGGCCTTTTATTTAAAAGGAAGAGAGAGTTAAACTTTACAAGTCAAATTTTCTTAGGAAGTTTCTCTAATTATTTCAAGTAAATTGCTAAATATATCTTTCAAATAATTTTAAACAGTTATTTAATATTAATGCAATTTTCTTCTTGTTGCAGTTGTTTTTATAGCAGTTCCTTTAATCTGATGTTGAAGAAACACATTCAATTTTAAAATTTTTTATATGTAATTCATATTTTTATATAATAATTTGAATCCTGGGAAGAATAATACTGGTATTTATTAAAGCACAGGCTGGAAAAGATGGAGAAATCTAGGAGGGAGACTGCACTCATTGTTTAGTCAGCAAGGAAGTAAACAAACTATCTAAAATTATCTGGTTCCTCTCTGTATCTTGAAGAGGTCTACCAAAGACTCTGCTATTGCCTTCAGCAACAGCCAAGACCTGAAGACTAAAATATTCTCATTTTTAAAAATAAAAATGCCCTTCGCTTTAATTAAAGTTCATTTGGTCCTCTGTAAACAGAAAATGGTCAGTCTGTATTTTCTTTAGTAAAAATGTTAACATACTTAAGAGTGATACATTTCCTCTTTTCTTTACTTCCTTTCCTTAGGGGCTTATTTTTAAATAATTTTTTGCCATTAACCATTGACCTAGAAGAAACCTAAGTCTGTAGCAGCTTTAGTTTGCTTTCTGTATACCTCAATAGCAGCTCCACTGTCAATCCTTATGTGAGGAACTTTTCCTTCTGTAAAGTTGCCCCGACTCCACTGTTGTTGAGATGTTTTTCGCTCTACATTTGAAGTTCTTGAGAGCTTGAACCAAAAAGAAATTTTAAAACTTTAAGATATAATAGTCTTTATCTAATTTTTCATAATGAACAAAGAACCCACATTTGGATAATCTGTTAAGTCTTTCATGTGTGCCATGATGTTTATTCTGTACAAAATAGTTTGCCATCTTTTCAAATTCATAACCCTATACAACTCAGTGGCTCATTTGGCTAAGGGAGGTCTTAATAAATCAATCATCCAGGGCAACCCCTTCGGGTCCCCTCCCACTGTGGGAGCTTTTCTGTCCTCTCAATAAATCCTGCTTTCTCAAAAAGAAAAAAAAAAAAAAGAAAGAAAGAAAAGAAAAGAAAAAGAAAAGAAAGAAATCATTCAATTCAATTTCCTGAATCCAGAAAAGTCCACATGAGCACTTGCACAGCAGAAACATCAAAAACTTACCCAGTATTCTTAAAAATCATCAAAAAAAGGCAACTTCACAGTTTTCTCAGTCACCCTGGTTTCAAAATGTAACAATATCTCAAATAGGTTATTCATAAATTATTGACCAGACATTCACAAAATATGCTTTGAGTGAAAATAACATATTAACAATTCACTCAGAGACATCTCTATGGCAGTAACTATACCATAATAGAAATCAGAAATAACAGTTGAGGGTGAAAATATGAAAAAGGTACAACTTTGAAGAATGGGAATCTGACTTTTCCTAAACTTACTGTTCTCTTTCTCCAAAATTGTGCTGGATCAACTACAATCTTACATATTGCCTAATCTCTATAAAGAGGAATATATCCATACCAGTCCAATTGGGTAATCATAGATTGTTTGCAACTAATGCAAATTGATTTTGTCTAGTTTATATTCCATCTAGATACCATAATTGTCTTAAATAATAAAACCATAACCACCCTTTATTTAACACAACCATAAATCTCATTCTGCATCAGTTGAAGAAAATGCTCAAAAATTCAGATTTAATTCAACTTGAAAACCAATTTCTGTTAAACCATTAAAAAAAGAAACTGAGGCCAGGCTCGGTGGCTCAGCCTGTAATCCCAGCTCTTTGGGAGGCCGAGGTGAGTGAATCGCTTGAGCCCGTGGGTTCGAGACCCGCCTGGGCAAATTGGTGAGACCTCATCTCTATAATAAATTTAAAAAATTAGCCAGGCGTGGTAGCGCGCGCCTGTAGTTCCAGCTATTTGGAAGGCTGAGGCGGAAGGATCGCCGGAGCCCAGCAGGTTGAGGCTGCGGTGGCCGGGAGCGGCCACTGCACTCCAGTCTGGGCGATAGAGTGAGACTCCAACTCAAAAAAAAAAAAAAAGAAACTGAAATAACATTCCTGAGAAATAATTAATTTGGGCAGTTGTTAGAAGAACCATATAACAAGTTATTAACCAACTTTGCTCACTTCTTCTGTAAGAAAGAAATGTTCCTTTAATAGTTAAGAAGGTAATGAATTAACTGACAAGGACTCATGGGATATGAATGAAACTGGGGACGAATCAGGGAATAAGAAGTCAACTTGTGCTGAGATGTAGAATCTTCGATATTTACCAAATCTTTCCCAGAGGTTAAGTCTCTGTTGATATGTTTTTCTTTTTTTTTCTCCGATAAATCTAAAAAGTCTGCACTACCAAGGCTTGATGTCTGTGACATTTCCACCACCAAAACTGGAGAAACGCTTATTTTACTGGAACATACACATAATACACCTTTCTGAGAAGCAGATGAACACCTGGGGCATTCTGTGGATTTTTTATCCAAGCCACTATCAGCCATTTGCTTAACACTGCAACAAAAGCAACTTGAAATAAAGATGTTTCCACTGGTTGAGGAAGAAAATCAGACCAAAAGAGATAAGGTAGTTGATGGTGAGAACTGTAACTTCCAACTGATGAAGTCTTTAGGTTATCTTAGGACTTATATTCACACATGAGAGCTGCAGAAAAAAAAGAAAGTACTATTTAGAAAATTCTTATGCTACTACCTTTCTATAAATTGGGTAAAACTAACTAGCACCAAAAGCATCCCACATAGACATGCAAAATTAATATTTACAACAAAATTGGACCACAAAACTGCTGAAAAGCATAGTCTAAAACAGTGCCTTATCAACCTGCAATAGTGGGTTATGAAATCCATTTAGTGGGTTGACATCAATTTTTTTAAAAAGTAGAAATGAATAGAAAATATCAGAGTATTTTTCATATATCCTTGGTAAGTTCGGTGGAACTTTTAATCACACAGACCTTATATGCTTATAAGGTCCCAAATAAACTGACTCTTCACTACCTCTAAGGTTTCATATTTTACCTCTTTCTTTCCCCTTCCCCTGTGCTCAGATATACTAGCCCCATTGTTGCTCCTCTAACATGCTAAGATACTCTCTTCCCAAAGCTTTTGCCCTTCTGCTTCTTCTGCCTAGGATGCTCATCCCACTAGCATTCACATGGCCTGCTCCCCAACTACATTGTGGTTTCTACCCATTCGAGAGACCTTTCCTAATTATCTCATCCAAAATAGCAGGCCTGTTCACTCTGTCCCCTTGACTTGCTTTATTTTTCTTCACAGCACTTATCATGTCACTCAGGAAATTTTATGGCAGAGTTCTTTTTTACTTTTGGCATGCAGGTAATTCCCATATAAGCTGTTTCAGGGCATGCAAAGCCATCCAGTTCATTTTATTCAGTTAGAATAACCAAAATCTGACCATGAAGTATTCCCAAAAGGGGAATCTAGATTTTAAATTGTGACTAGATTTTAAAATCCTAAATGCTGCATTTATATTTATGACCAGGCAATACGTACAAGGGAGGGCCCCAAAAGCCCAGAATTTATTTATTAAAATTGTATATTTATTCTTGCATGTTCAAACTTCAGTCACCTTCAAAATACTCTTCGTTTGATGCAATAAACCTGACGAGATGGCTTTCCACTGCTCAGAACAGTTTTTGAACTCGTCAATTTAGATGCCTCTGCTGTTTTTTGTTGCATCTCTTCCACATCAGCAAAACATTTCCCTTTGAGGACTTCTTTCATCCGGAAAAACAAAAAAAGTCGCTCGGGTTGAGATCCGGTGAATAGGGAGGGTAGGGCATGGGGGTCATGCCATTTTTGGTCAAAAACTGCTAAAACTCAGCACGGTGTGGGCAGGCGTGCTTGTAAATCACCCATTATGAAGAGGGCAAACATGTCGAAAGAATCCCCCCACACACACACAAAAAAAACTCACTGAAACCGAATATAGACTCTCACAACAATGCTACCTGGTACACTGATGCCGATGGGCTCCCAGAACACTTACCTAGTAGGGGAAGCCTGTACTACAAAGGGCCCATCCTCTAAAAGATAATCCCGGGTTTTTTGGGTCCTCCTCCCTTGTACAGGTGTTCTAAGTTTATTAGAAATAATAGATAAGTCTGCACAATAGGTATGACCCTTAATCAAAGTGGTGGGAAAAAAATTCTTCTGTTGTGATTAAAACTCATAATGGAAAGCATAGGGACAGGCATATAAAAAGTACCCTCCAGACGGGAAAATGGAGAAAAGAACGCAACTGAAGTCACTAAAACACACACACACACACACACACACACACACACACACACACACACACACACCTATTACAAATGCTTAACCTTGTTTTTCAAATATATGTATCAAGACAAAGAAAACTCAGAATGTACCTGTATACACTTTGCAAAATGATTTAACTTCAGGCCAAGAATAAAATGTTTTGCATTTCAGGTTAAATATAAAGCCTATAACCCAAGTCTAAGCAATGAGTTAGAGCAGTGAAGTAGATCTGCCAATAATAGCCTTTCTGCTTAGGAAAAATAGTGCTTTCTCTCTGCGGGTGTAGAAAAGTCCCTTGTCAGATGTGTAAGGCATCATTTTATGCATGCACTAAGAACATTGATTTTATGGTACTTTTTATAAGAAACTTAAGAAGTGTTCATAATGCAAAGGTTTTTTTACACTGTAGCTGAGTTCCTTCATTATAAACAGTATTTCTAAAAGTATGCTTACTATAGCCTTCAATTTTTTATTTTATTTATTTATTCATTTATTTTTAATCATATTTTTTATTTTAAAATTGTGGGGTACAGTTAAGGGTTAGGTATGAAAATATGCATCGTTCAGGCACTCTTGTTGATAAAGGGTGTCCCCCCGTCCCTAGACAGATATTGATTACAGTTAATCCCACCTCCCTTCTCCTCCCTACCCCCCCATAGTTTCCCACCACTGTCAATCCTTTTCTTATCGTGTTATAATAGATGTTCAAGGTCCACTATATGAGTGAGAACATGTGATACTCAGATCTTTGTTTCTGTGAGAGATCCTTCAATTTAAAAAAAAAAATATATTCATACATTTTCAACAGAATAATTAAATATTTTAATTTAAAGATTAGTTTTGGGGGGATCTAAAAGAAGTTATTTGTTCTTAGCTTTATTAAGAAAGAATTTCCTTTAATTATTCATCAATTTTTCAATAACATTATCATAATATCACTGACATTGTCATAGACTTCTGAGTGTCTTCTTGCTCCAGTTTTCTGATTTATCAGTTGCCTTAGAAGCATTTATGGAAGATATATTCAGAAAGCAGAAGAGTTCCTGTTACTCACTGAGGAGTTTCATTTTTACTCTCCAGCCTACCAACCACTATATTTGCCAAAGTAATGTTCTACTTTCTTACCACGGCAATTCTAAAACAATAGGTTGAATAGCTGCATGCAAAATTTCTTGACAAGAATTAGATTTCAAATTTAAATTCTTTTTGGCTGGCTGAATTCTAATTATTTTAGCTTAAACAAAAAACCAAAATAGAGCAAATGTTTACTCACATTTATTTCTTTTTCACTTATGAATTGATCTGAAAGATTTGTTACTAAAATAAATCTACTATCTAACAGGCCAAATGATGTCATTCACATTTTAGAGGCATAAAATTAATCAAGTATTGCAAACTTATCTTTATGTAAACACAAAGATTAATAGCTCTTCTTCTATAGAATCAGGGAATTATGTTTAAACAAAACTTTAGGTATGAAAAGATGTATTAGAAAACCAAAGAAACCTCTAACATAATAATGTTTCTTTGAGTCCCCAAAGAGTGGACATACATAAGTAAATAAAATAAGTTCAAATCATGTCAGTATTTAACTAATGCATGAGCTTTTCTTTGGCTACAGATTTTCATTTTATTTTCAGAACTAAGGCAAATCAATAAAACAACTCTGATACTGAAAATCTCTGAGCTTTTATTTAATCATAAAAAGGTCTCTTACATATTGGCCCTAGAAGATACACTTATAGCAATTTCCTCAAGAAAATGAACACAAGAATGGTTTTATGAGATATAACTGGCTACAATTTTCTTCCCCAAAAGCAATTTTTTAGTTTTCTTTGCTAAGATTGTGTCTTCAAGAAACCTAAATAGTCAGTCAATTCAGTAAAAAATGTGTTCTATTCAAGTGAAGGAAAAAACCCTTATGGATCGTCTGACATTATGCAGACCAGGCCAAATGATTGAATGTTTTTCATAACATGTTTACAGAGTCTAAAGAGGGGCCAAATGAGTTTTCTAGATCATATTCTTAGGTTTTAAAGAAGACCAGCACTTGTTTACTATTTCCATTAAGGGCATGATTAGACATTAGTAAAATGTGTCTGTTATTGTCTTATGAAAGAATTCACAGTATATTTATAATTTCAGAGATTTTAAAAATGTTTAATAGTTGATGTTTGCTATTAGTTGTGTTTTTTATTTTAATTTGCATAATTACTCACCGATTAAGCTGTAACGTGGAAAGACAGTCTTAAATGTGGTCCTCCTACTGATAGTTAAAGTTAAGAACAGAAATTTCAGCTCAAAGAAGCTGGATAACACCAGGAAACTCTCTCTCATTCCTCCCTGTTGTTATCAGTCTTTTCTCTCTACCTATTATAAGCCACCAGAGGCCAAGAACCTTTCTACCAGCACAGGCCCTTCTTTGTACACAATAGGCATTCACTGAAAATTTCTGAGTGTTGATTTTGTGGAAGAGTCAGAACCACAAATCACTTAGGCAGAAAAATAGGCAGGTATATGGGAAAGGTCATCAAAGAAAGGAGGGGATCAAATGAAAGGGGGCTATCTCAAATGGAATGTGAGAGGTCTCTTCATAGATCTGAAGAGGATTAGGCATAAGGGATTAAACATCTGTGTGATTGGAAGAGAGAGTGCACACAATCTAATCAATCTAATATAAAGGGCTTCCTAACATGTAGAGCTGTCAAAGATAAAAGGAAAGACTATCTCAGTCACTGTAAGTATTCCAATAGAGGCTGGAAGGTCAGCTGGCAGGGAAGCCAGAGAGAGGATTTAAGCATAGACTAGGATGTATTGAGGTTCCTTCTAGCCCTGAAAGTGTGTGAAGATGAATCACTCTTTCTTAATAATCATCCAACATAGCAGACATTTAAGGAACTGAAATGGCAGTGGACCTCACCTCCATTGTGGAGATTTTAATATTATAGTGGGACCCAGACCAGGTCAAACCAGTCGCAGCCCTAAAATCCATCTCATTTAACCTGAATTTCACCTGTAACAGAGCAGAATTGTTAGAATTTACCATATGGGGATGGGATGGTAGGAAGAGGTTGAGCTAGAGGGCTAGATGTGCTGAGAAGTAGTGTCCCTACCTAGGATGAAAAAGCTAAAGAGTAGAAGAAAATAAATCAGAGAATAGGTTTAAGAATGAGAAAGTGGGCTTACATATACCTATCACCAAAGTAAAGACTTATGTGTAGCTAAGGCAGACAAAAATAATGTAATGCTGCCGATAGATTCTAGAAGAATTAGAACCACGCTAAGGATCGTGACATAAACATTCTGCTGTGCTCCATCCAGGAAGCCTAAAAGCAAATAGTATCATACTCAGGAATTTTTTTT